TTTTTTTTTTGCTGAATGAACAACCTGATAAAAACTTATCCGTTTTTATGCGTTTCTGCATGTTATTATAGAAATGCAAAAACGCATAATGTCGAGAGCATGTGTGTATATGTGTGAGTATGTGTTCGGGAGCGAGTGGACTTTGCCACTCAGTTCCAACCCCACAATGGAGAGAGCTATGATGCAACACTACCACCCCAGCCGAGGCCTTTTTCTCTCGCATGGAAGAAAAGACCAAAACATAAGCATATGAGCTACAAGTGATAAATTGCAAAGCAACAACCATTCGTACTGCTAAGGATTTGATTGCATCAAGTTTGGCGTAAAAACGCATAATCGCACGGACAAACCGGGTGCGTTGCTATCTGGCTTTTATTAAAAGATGGTCCGCAAACTTTAGTATGTAAATCAGGCCCGTTTATGAGCAAAGGTTGCCTTTGCCTGATCTGTCACATAAAGCATTCAGCTATATTATGAGCATTGGTATTGCGGCTTATTGCATCGCTACATTGCTTGGTGTAGAATTACCGAATTTAATCTGAGAGCAATATGGAATAATGTGAGCATTCTTCGCATACTTCAGACCGTATCTTTTGAGTGAAAACGACAAGCAGCACGACATAAATTAAAAATGAATTAAATGAAATTTGCGAAAAGGATTTGAAAAACTAGAAAAAATAAATTAACAGTCTTAAATAAATAGATATGCAGGCTTTCGCCATGGGACGCATCTATCCATGAACCATTACGACAGAGGTTAATCGGTGGCTTGACCGACAGTCAGATAAGTACAATGTCGATGCTCGGCTCGCTTGGCTTTGGCCTCACTACCTCCTCGGTGTTTGAATCTCGAGGCAAGCATGGATTTTCTTGGCTCTCACCGTCCCATATGTGTTATATGATAGAGCCTCCGAGACCTGCTGAATTTGATTCAAAGGTATAATTTGCTGTTAAATGTTACCAGTGAAAGTCAAATATTTATCATTACTTAGTGTCCTGTTTTTGTTCATTTGCGAAGTTTCATTTCACTGCTGCAAGAGTAGCTGAAGACCATGTTGTATGAATAGGTTTTTTGGAAGTTGTCTTGCATGTGGGAGTTTTTGAAGACTTAGTAGCTGCGGTGCCTTGCCGAAATATGCTGTAGTTTCAGGCATCATATTTTTGCATCGGAATTACTAGTAATTTGCGAACTCTCGTTTTTTAGTTGTGTGATTCAGTACTGGATGATTTACAGATGATGTCAGATATGGAGGAGAGTTCGATGAACGTCGACGGTGTTAGTGGCTCTCGTTCAGGTAGCCGATATTTTCAGCCTCTTTTCCAAAAGACTTTGTGCAGGTGGAGGTCGTTTTGAGGAGATAATGCTGCTTATATTGATTTTTGTTTGCTGAAAATTACATATCAAGTTTGGCTCTCATCCGTGAAATCTCATTTCGCATCTCACTAGCACTGTTCCTCGCAGGTGTTATTAATGGCTTCTCAATGCCCAGGTTGGTTTAGACACTGTAAAAACTCCTCGTCTCCACTTTCCTCCACTTTATTCTCCCGACTTTCCTAAATTTTACTTTTTGTCATTCCGGTATTTATATTCACACAGACTTGTTATGACCGGCTAGTTTTCCTGGACGTTTTGAAATGTTTGCTTCTTGGATTTTCATTTCTGTTTTTTTCGCGTAAAACGCATGTTTCGAAAGTGGGCCGTTTAAATCGCAAATGAAATTTTTAAAGTAATTTTAGTTCAGTAGCCTAGTGGTGATCTACTCCTTGCCAAAACCGGTAGCGCTGAGGCCTCATGGCGTGCAGTGCGAGTCATGACTTGTGATTTTGTTGCTGAAAGTTTGCGATTCTCTCACACATTTTGATTTTTTTTTTGATTTATGTTTTTTATGCGTTTTTGCATATATGCGAGTGCAAAAGTGCATATTGGTGTGTGTCTCTGTGTTTGCGCTTTTTGTCACCCACTTTCAACTCGAGAACCAGAAAGCTAAAGAGCTCAAACTTCGGGAGTGTGTGCGCCACCTGTGTGATCCTCCCTTTTTAATAATATTATCCACGTAAGTCTAGGTCCCACATATGGGCGCTTCAAAAAAATACGCATATTTTCTGGCCGGAAAGTGATCTCGGGAACCAGACAAGATAAAGCTGAAACTTCGCAGGAATTTTCTCCGTGCATGTAAGGGCTAAAGACTTTAAGTTCAGTCGCTAAGTGTGCATGGCTTTCACATACAGGTACCTGAAATTTTTGGTGGGAAAATTACTAACTCGACAACCACAAGAGCTAGAAAGCTGAAATTTTATGGAATGTTCTGTGCCCAAGTACAACTTAAACATTTCAAACTCAGCTTTCAGATATGCGTGATTCTCACGTACATTAGACATTTATAGATTTTGGCGGAAAATTGCTCACTAAACAGCTACGTCATTTTCAAAGAACGATTGTTAAACGGAGATTGTTCATTTCCTTTATGCAAAATTTACGATAATTTATGGTAGTGAGCGCGAAAAGCAGGTGTGAAACAACAACCATCCACGCACTTAACGACTTGAGCACTTCAAGTGTGGTGCAAAAGCGTTTGATTGCATCGGCAATCCCGATGCTTTCCAGTCTGTATGAATTTGTTTCTGATATGAGTATGGGTTTTTTTTTTAAATTTAATGACTCGAATTTGCAGTTGAAATAACTGAATTAGATGCAGCGAATGGGAATATTGCAGTGCAGATTTCGAAACTGGATTTGAGTGGGATCAGTGATTTGGAGCACGAAAATGATCAGTCGCCGGGTGAAGTTGCACAAAACGATGAGTCTTCTTTAGTAAAGGTGGAGCATTTACCAGAATTGAGCAGTCCACGTTTTATTTGGTTTTTGTGTCTGATGACTCCCTTGTTGTCGTTAGTCATTATTCCAGATAGTGGGCGTAACTTTTTAATTCCTACAGGCTAACATTGTAGTTCACGATTTGTGACTCCTCATCGCAGTACCCTTCTAGTCACACATTTTCAACTCACGCCATTAGCTCCTCGTTAATAGTTCATAAAGGAAGGACAGCATGAAAATTTTTTGTGCCTGTTTGTTGTCCGGCTTTAGGTAGTAACGAGTGGCGCCGCTCCAGTGCTGAAAGTCGAGGGTTTGACCCCACCAATGGTGTAACGTCCGGGAGGAGCAGGAGATGAAGCTGGGGGGCCTACCTGGCTGCGGGGAAGCGCTGCGGCAGTTGGGCAACACCAAGTAACAAGACCCAATTCTTTATTAATACAATCACGAAAAAAATTCAAAAAAAGAACGGGACAAACCCAGGATCAGCCCGGCAGCAGCTCCAAGCTGTCGCCGCGCACTTCCAAATTACGCGAAAGAATACAATTACAATAACAATTTCATTTTCAATCATCACATTAAATATCACGGAGAGGGGAACTCGAGCCAGGAGACGGGACATTTGCATATTACA